AATAGCACTACTTATCAAATATTACGCACAAAACAGTAAAAAGATAATAATGATTTTGACCTTTAAACCTTTATTTATTATATTATTTACAGCCAATAAATAGATGAGTCAAGAATAAATAAGCGAGACCATTGTGTCACCATGATCTTCAATATCACTACATTTACTACTTTTATATAATAATAGGTTTGGTACAATTTCACATTAAGTTTATATGGTTTGGTAGTTCATCTTGAATGATTTTAGATTTTATTTACATTTTGTATACAGACTTAAAAATATAGGCCTTCTTTTTTAAGCAATCATTACTTTTATTAAAGGACCCTTACTAAAATAGGACTAGGCAGTTTTTCATCATCATTATAAACAAGTATACATGCTGATAAACATAGGACTCCTGTTTCGAAAGTATACCAGAGCTATTTTTATTTTTGTTGAATATTCAATTCATACATATTTTTGGTGCTAAAAAAGCCATTACACTGCTGATTTACCAAGAAGACAGTATATATTATTTGTTTAACTAACTTTTCGCTTATTTTATAGTATTGAATGTACAATAGAAATAAATAACACTGGGAAATCGACATTTTTGTACTACCAACTTCTAAACAATGGGATGTTTGCGAAATCTATTTTAAACACCAAACTTTACCAAAAATTTACTGGTTAACATTACCATGTAATCCAGGGAGGTTGGTTCATTTTGCTAACAGGGGTGTGTGTCATATTGATAGGCAGGTTGACAACTGCATAGCTTTTGTGGAGTAGCCTAAGGGTTCTGAGAATTGTAGCGCCACTTCGCCCGAGCAGAAAGGCTGCTGGTATATTGATATCCAGTTCATTCCTGAAAAAGCAAGAATACGTTTAGTTAAATAACAATAACAGCTTGCATAGAAAGTATGTCAATGTCATGACATGTCCACTCTCAAAAACAGACTGATCAGTTTTCTAATGATCAATTATGTAATCTAATGCAATGATAAAGCTTTGGAGGAACTTTAAGAGATTTTACCCAGCTAGACCTGGTAGGTCAGCAGTCTGACCTACCAGGAAAATTATAATCTAGCCAAAAGTCAAAAATATTATTTCTCTTTCTTATTAAAATATGAATGATATTATTATAATTAATGATCTTATTGAGCCCTTTTCAATAGAAAAAATCTATCTGGTATACTACCAGTAGATACTTCAAGCACAGACCCTTTTTATCAAGTGCAATAATGACTAAACTACAATTTGATAACAAGTAAGATTTAAGCTAAAAATGTCATTATGACAAGCACAATTCAGTTCAGGCAGGCCTATTTTATATTTTAATCTAGTAATTACAGTTGTGATTGGGCTTGAGTAAATTTCGTATAAGCACGACTATTTCTCTATTTCATTGCCTTTCATTTCAACCTTGTATTCTTATGATTCAATACTATCAATTGACGTTAAAATAACAGCATCGTTATAGCCAATGAGCTGTCATAGAATAGAGGGACGCGCACGGACAGCTATGAAAGTTAAGTATTCAGTGTTTTATTTAGGAATAGATCTACCGGCCTCTAATAATATGTACTTACTTATCATCTACCATTTCAATAAGATAGTCATCATCCTTGTCAAGGAATTCTGTAATTATTATGGCCCTGGCTCCAGCCATCTGTGCCATTGCTGCTTTAAATACAAAGGAGCAATCTCTGAAATTAATAAGATTTAAATGGTTAGTAAAAATGTTAATAAAAGTTATAAATAATAGTAGCCTACTTTTAAAATTCATAAATATAAGAAACTTTAAATAGGTAGGTACTAGAAAGACAATGTTGTCTGTACAGGAAGTAAACCTATTAGAATAAAACTGAAGTTTTATTGGTGAGTTTCTATTATAATCTATATTTGATACTAGCGCCTGCCCGTGACTTCATATGTATGAGTCCCTTTTTACCCCCTTAGGAGTTGAATTTTGCAAAATCCCAACTTAGTGGGCACCTATGTTATAAAAGGAACCCCCATGGAAAATTTGAGACTCCTAGCACTTGTAGTTTCTGAGATTTTGCGATGAGTCAGTCAGTCAATCAATAATTTGTTTATTAAATAGTAGTTCAAAGTTTCCTTACCCTCTTTCAGCTAAAGCAATGTGTCCCGCAATGTCGTTGTGGTTCACAATATTTGAACAGCTATGTAAGGGTAAAGTCGGAACTAGCTTTGCATTTTTGAAGGAGAAGCTTTCATTCTGAAAATATTTAAAAAACCGATTAATATTGGGATGATAAACATGTAATGTATGACATATTGCTAATAATGAGCAGACACAAGACACTAAAAATGGTAGCCTAAAGTGGCTAAAACAAGTATTATGGGCTATTCTATAACAATAAATTCCCACAATAAATAATATTGCGTTTGCCGGCGAAATACTTGCTCTACTTATATTTCAATAAAAGGCGGTTACAGCATTCAGTGGCATCCAATGTGTAAAAATAATTGTAAAATAATAATTGTAAAATAATAATATAAAGTAAGCTATTACTTACAAATGTAGTGCCGAAATCTTTTGCAGGTCTTATTCGATAAGAATATCTCAACTCCACAGGTTCCACGATTTCGAAAAATATATCACCAACTATTACATCAAGTGATGATGATCCGTCATAGAAATGCAAATCATTAGCTGTAATAAATATAAATTAATAACACTATTACAGTATTACACTAATATAGACAGTTCAATAGATTATTCATGCATTTAGATTAACTTTTTATTTCATCATTTATATATCCAATGAAAGTAAAAGAATATTACCGCCTGGTAAAACCACAGGAATAAACAAAATCAGTAGAAAAACTTTACAGAACGAAAGGAGCAAGGAAAACTTAGAAACAAACATCATTAGTTTAAAGTTGAACTAGGTAATTAATTTAAAATTAAATTAAATCGATTATTGGGATAAATTAAATTTTCGTCGTATGACATTATCAATTATTGTGATTTGTGACAGTATGTGTCAATCACTGTGCTGTCAGTTTGTCATTTTTTTTCAGCACAAGGCAAAGGCATTATAAACAACAGCCAAGTCTTAAATTTTTATTAGTTATGAAAATAAATGATCAATGCCTAGAAAAATGAATGATGGATGCCTAGAAAGATACCGTACGTATTACCGTGCCAAGATGGAATTAAACACAGGGTGAAATTTTAATTTGAATTTGAATTTGAAATTTTGTAATGCCACCTGTGGGTCTAGTCACATTAATATATACCAAAAAAATTCGCTTGCCACCAGGTAGTTATGTTATAGATGACCCACGCTGAACTGTCCCGCGAAACTCAATGACAGGGGGGCGCTACCATCGTTCAACTATGAACTACCATGGTTTCCAACATGGCAAAAATCGGAACTAGCGATCCGGTATTGACGGTGGCGCCCCACTGTCAATGTCATGCATAGGACAGTTCAGTATTTTGGAACTATACACCCAGACATCGAAGTTCGAACCGACTCAAATCTGTTTTTACAAACAGCTGACGTACGCTGTTGAACGACCAATCGTATCGCAGAATCGAGAAGCGTGTCTGGATTGGAGACGTTAAAAATTACCGTAATCGGGGCTCTGTCTTAAACGGGCAACCAATGAAGCCATTAAAGCAATAAAATCTTTTGTATGAATTATTTCCAATTTAAAATCTAATTCTACTGGCCTACAGACCCGTCACAGAAATTAAAATTCATCATTTCAATTTCTGCCCGGCCGGAAAAAAGTAAAGTTTTTGCTGCAGTGGGAACCTCTCCTTGAAAAATTAATCTATAAACTGGGATGATATAATAAATAAAAATAATAACATTAATCAAAACTATGAAGCCTTTCATAACAAAGTTAAAGAAATATTGAACACATGTATTCCAAGGCAAAAAATAAAGTTAAAAAAGAACTATACAAAATATTGGTTAACAAAAGGTATTAAAAAATCCTGTCAACATAAAAGGCTTTTAAAAATTTTTGCTTCAAGGTCAAATAATATAATAATTAATAACCATTACAAAAGTTATGAAAAAATACTTAAGAAGTCGATTGTCTGGGCTAAAAAAAATCATTATATCAATAAAATAAAGCTTTCAAATAATAAAGTTAAAACAATGTGGAGTATAATAAACGAGAGAACAAATAAGAAAAATCTAAAAGAAAAAAGAAACATTAAAATAAAAATAAAAGGTGATCTTTGCTCAAACCCAAAACAAGTCGCTGACCACTTTAATNGTATATAATAAGATCTTATTGATTTTTGTGTATTAATTTCGTGTATATATGTCTAATGCATTTCTTCGGTTCAGTCTTCTTGGACAAATAGTTTACTCTAATAATGAAATACTTTTGTATCACCATTTTTGCAAGTTCAATATTATGGACAATAAAATCACTATCAAAATAATGACTTTCGATGTTTGGAAACAATTGTCGACCAACAAAATGTTTTAACACTCTAATGGTAACCCATTGTGGCGAACAAGAGGGCTTAACTTTTTTATCGTCGCTTATATGTTTTCGGATTTCCACTTCACAAAGACGACATAATTCAATAACTTCTTTCGATGCGTANACTCTCCCACAATAACACGTTCATTCGTTTGTACTCTAATTGTTATGTAACCCTGTTTTACTAAATTTAAGTCTTCTTTTTCTTGTTTTAAAAGTTTTGGTTTTGTTTTAAAAGACAACCAATCGGACCAAGTCATTGTATTTAAATCTTAGTTGAGGAATCACTGGCTACTAAGATACAGGTTGTAACCTAGTTTAGTAGTCATGGGACCCCCGATTATCATGCCACTTTTTGTAACTTTTGCATAGTAATACATGCATAATGTAACTTTTGGTTCAAATAAACGTTTTTATTTATTATTTATTTATTATAGAGAAAAATAGTGAAAAATACAAATATTATTTATTATTATAGTATATAATAAGATCTTATTGATTTTTAAAGTGTATTAATTTATATTAGTCATACTCTATAAAAAAACACCAGTTATCGTTAAAGTTACGTTGAACGTTAGGTGGTGCAACTCAGACTAAGAAGGTCAGTTCAACGTTTACAAAGTAACGAGAAAAAGCAATAATAAAATTAATATTTTTCTGTTATAAAAAAAAACTGTTCATAGTCTTCTGACTGATCGCANCTTTCGGATTTCCACTTCACAAAGACGACATAATTCAATAACTTCTTTCGATGCGTACTTTAAGCCACCTCGACTTTTTTGGTGTATTAAACTTTTGTCATTTGGCTCCCCACATAAACCTTTTATGCATGTACTGCATTTGATTTTTGGCAGTATCAAATTGTTTGCATAGAATTTCGATTATATTGTTATAAGTACACTATCCTTAAAATATTACACAATTCATTGAGTTATAATGTACTACGTACTAGAGAAGACATGTCAACTAGACTGTTTCTGGCACGCAAACAGGTCCAGGGACCGAAATTCAATTAGTATGTGCTCAGCCTCAGCGGTTGCTGTGACAACACGCTTGAGTGCAGTTTTGTTTTTTGAAATATGCCATCCTATAGACGAAAATACTGTTCAAATAACTCCAGATACATATTANTACTTTAAGCCACCTCGACTTTTTGGTGTATTAAACTTTTGTCATTTGGCTCCCCACATAAACCTTTTATGCATGTACGTACTGCATTTGATTTTTTTAATAAGAGAAAAAACTACATAGCCCGCTATATATTCCACTACCTTTTCTCCAAAAGGCGATAAGAAATAAGGTCAGTTCAACGTTTACAAAGTAACGAGAAAAAGCAATAATAAAATTAATCTTTTTCTGTTATAAAAAAAAACTGTTCATAACTTCATAGTCTTCTGACTGATCGCATGACGGAATAAAGGAAAAAAAAATAAAAAAAACCTTTTTCAACTTCAAAGTTGGCACGGAATTCGGTTTCAATTTCCTCTTGTCATGTGATTTAAAAATGAAACAGGTAGTATCAAAATGCATTGAGCAAACTGCGCTCCAACAAACGTTGTTGTAACAATCATGTAACTCCAGGATACATGATTGTTACAAGCCTGGATCCAGATATTGCGAGTAGTTGGATCTTTTGGAAATCTGTAAAATAGCGGGAACTTACTTAACAAGTTTATTATGTCAGGGTAAATGTGATAAATTGAAAATTATTAATAATCGCCGGTTATTATGAATAATTCCCGACAGTCGAGGTAAAAGTGATAAATGAATTTACATTTATCAGTGATTATTAATAATGTATTAATACTAACAAATTTCAAGCACCTACAATATGGCCATAAAAATATATAACAAATTGCCCGATCATTTATTAAAAGAAAATAATAATAGTACATTCATAACAGGACTAAAAGAGCTATTAACTACGAAATGCTATTACACCATAAAAGAATATCTAGACGATAAAATTAATTAACGATGTACCTAACTAAACTATAACTTTCTATCTATAAAAAGAAGCCTCCTCTCCTTAGATTTTAAGTTTGCAGCGCCCAACAGGGTCCTTAATGATCTCCAAATATATGTAACACCTAAATGTACTTAAGGAAGCAATAAACATATTGAGTATTGAGTATTGGGCCACAATGGCTTGGCTTCCCAAGCCAACCCACTTGTACCACGCCACGTCAGCTGTGAATTGTCTTTGGATGTGTAAATCCCCCTATTTGTTGTGAAATACTTCTAACGATTCTTTTTACGTAAACACCAATTTGCGTTACTTTTACTAAAGGCGTAAGTTGCATTAAAAATACAAAAATAAATACATTTTTATATTCCCAAAAGATAAATATCACATAAAATTGTCCTAAGCTCGGTCTTATGCATTCATTAGAAATTAATTACCTAGCATCAGCCATATAGCTTGTTACAACTTCCGTGAATCGGAGTGTAACTAGACTGACAAAAGCGCGACATGACATTGACGGATGCGAAAAATATTTCACACTGTAAAATTATCCACTGGTTCAGGGAAAATGTAGTATTTCATGATAAAATATTATTACGTGCTCCGTGTGTTCAAAGTTAACGTGGCTTTTGTGTTATTAATTTACGTGAAATAAGCACTTTGCTGCTTTACCTTTTTAGTTATTTTGCTTGAAATGAATGCAGATGCCGAAGTCAGCACTATAGTTTTCAATTGACACTGGTATGTTTGTTTACTTCATTTTTAAAGATCACTATTTCATGTATTTATTTTATTTAGTTTATTATCTTTCAAGCTTAATACATATTTCCCTATACAGTGTATGTGTGTGGTAAATGTGAACTTAGGAGTGTATCCCTCGACCGCAGTACAGCTTTCTATATAGACCGGTTCGGTTCCCCGGTAGTAAATTAAATCATTGCAGTTTCGAGTAGGTGCATCTTAATACGACTGTGGATTGATTTTAACTAATTTTGTGATTGTATTCTAATATCACTAAAATACCTATTCTCAAACTAATCAAGTCTAGTGAATATTATCCCAATATCAAGGTGCCCTTACAAATGTAAACAAAGCAAAAGTTTTAGCTAGTTCAGATAAACAAGTTCAGACTTGATCTTTTCCTTAAACTGTGGAGTTATTAATTGAAGTGAGTATACAAAATATTTTTACCAATAGACAATCCCTCAAGGCATTGTAATGTTAAACTTAAAAATATAATGTTAACTAGTAATATAATTAATGGATTCTAAATTTAAATAAAATACATTAGCATATCCCATTAGAACATTTGGTCACTGGAAATCTCACCCAAGTTGTGAATATCCGCCAATAAAAACATAGGGTAATAAAAAGCACTGTTTCTGCTTTCCCTTCATACCTAGTTTTATTAATGACCCTTTATGGAAGTTAAGTAGTATACTTTTTTAGAGTGATGTTTTCTAATAAGAAACCTATTTCTTTCATAATTATTTTACCCTGAAGATGAATTTTTAATAAAATAATTTTATTCTAGTGACATAGAAAAACTACAAAAATGGATGTGGATATGGAAGATGACCAACTACAAGCTCGGCCATACCAGACTCAACTGGAAGAAATTGCTATAAACAAAAACACTATCATACATTTACCAACAGGTAACAGTTTTTTAAAATACAGTGCAAACTATTTTATAACAAGGCTGCTTAACCTTTTGAAGATTCGGGCCGAATGGTGGATTCAGTCTTTAAAGACGCTGCTGACATTTCCTATTTCAGTTACAAGCGCAATAAAAACTTAATTATTAAGATCAAACTACACTTGCGTGGGCCACTTTCTTCTCACACAAAATTCTTTCAGGCCTGGGGTTGAGCAGCCTTGGAGCATGTCTTCATTTAATGTCCATTCTCTATATTATAGAGAGCATATTTAGACGTTAGATCATGAATGATCATGAGAATAATGGTCATTTCATCGAAAAATATTCATTGAACAATCTAGGCGAAACATTTTTATGCTGTATTTTTATTAGTTTTAACTATTGTTTCTAAACCAGGATCTGGAAAAACATTCATTGCGATCAGGCTCATCAAACGATTTAGAGAAGCACTCCAAAAGCCATGGGGGCAAGGGGGCAAGCGAACCTTTTTCCTGGTGAATACAGTTCCACTTGTTATCCAACAGGTATGTATGTATTTATTTTTTCATTATTTTGAGCTACAGACTTGGTCTTTGATTCATTCTGACCTACTTGATCATAAAGAAATGACTTACTTTGCAGCACAATTTGGTTTTATCACTAAATCATGTTACGAGGCGTTATAATAATTGCTCACCACATAATTACGTTTTAAAACCGTTACATAAATCTTTAAAATGAGTGTCCCTTTCATACAGTTAATCCCTTTGAAATAGTTGCACAGCCAATTCTTTGTTTGTTGTTTTGTTTGGTTGTAATGAGTTAATGACATCATTATCACTTATGTGATTAGTAATGGTGCCTTACAACTAATTTAATAGTTTAGTATGTATGACGTTTTATTTTACTTTGTAACTAATGTTTGTATTTTAATTTTAGAAAAAAGTCATCCAGAGATTATGCCCTGTAAATAGTGTTGGAGCATACAGTGGAGAAGATAATGTTGACTACTGGGACAAAGACAAATGGGACATTGAATTAGAAAAGCATCAGGTAGTATTATTAATCTAGCTAGCAATTAATGGAACTGGAATTTTGCAATCAAAGTAACAATTTTGAAGCACTCCTCCTACTTAAAGTTTTATATCCAAAAACTGTTCAACTATTAGTCTTAGAAACTTTCTCCACCTTTAAATTTTTTACCTTTTTTCCTCTAACCCAAATATAACAGAATCACAACCGCATTTCTAAAATTAGTATACTTAACTTAGATTAATAATGTCAAATAGTCATTAACTATCTTAAAGCTACATGTTAACTAATTTATTTTATCAATTCTTTACTGTCCTAGGTGGTGGTTATGACGAGCCAAATTTTGTGTGATATGATCACACATTCATACATCAAGATTGATGACATAAATCTGTTGATATTTGACGAGTGTCATCATGCAGTCGAAGACCATCCCATGAGAATGATTATGAAGCACTTTGATAACTGGCCAGTATCAAAGCAGCCTCGGGTTCTAGGTATTTTTTCTTCTACGTTTGTGTTTGCATATGCGAATGTTGATGCATAAATGCATTATTGCATGGTACACGCGAGAAAATTGGCGTCAACGGATGTAGTTAATTTGTTCTCTAGAGCTCGCACGGCGCATAGTAGGCAAGCTTCTAAGGACTTCAAATTAGACGGTTTGTGTGCGGCATGCGCTTTATAGCGGGGGGGCCGGGGTGGCACGGTGAAGATTTTGAAGATGATAGTTGATAGTAGTACCAAAGAATAATAATAAGTACTACGTACAGAAGTTTTACTTCGCGAAGGTATTTAAAAAATGTATGCTCAATGTCATTAACAATATGGTGTAATAGCCTGTCTCAAGAGTCAAGCACCATTTTGTTGACAAACGAAGGTGACCGGCACTGCGCGAAGCTATAGGGCTGACTTCGGTAAAATGATGTGACATGAGGTGTCAAACTGCGGAAAATGGCGGAGGAAATAGGTACATGATTTAGCATGAATTATCATGAATAATATTAACTACTTATTTACCTCTCAGTGTCTTGAGGCAACTTAAAAAAGTATATTCTGTGTTTTTATCATTATTTAGGCAGTTAAATACTGCACAGTATTTAGTACACCATTTTCTTTATTTTCTTCCATCATACACAAGAATACGCGTGCGTGAGTCAATGTTCGCTCGTATGTGAGGCCTTGTCGAATAGTATCCTGTAGGTGGGCATCGTGCGTGCTTTGTTTTCGATGTAAACTCGCGGAGATGAACAGGCCTGGTAGTACTAAGGCATGAGCTAATGGGCCAGCCCCCCCCTGAAAAAAAAACTACGCCAATGGTGCGCTGTTGCAAACGAATCACTGACGTCCTGCTGAAAACATGTAATTTGAAAGAGTCCTAAAAATAGAGCAGACGCGCGATATCGAGTTCGTATTTGTTTATTAGCCATTCGATTAAGATTTTGTTTCATCTTGTATCTACAATAGAAATACATTTAAAATTACTGTTACTTAGCTACGTGCATCTCGGGAATGTGGCGGCAATCGTAGGACGGGGAATCCCCAATTTTACAATCAGAATAGCCAGAGAAAGCGGGAATTCACGCTTCCAAAGAGAACTCAGTTACAATTTTTTTTTATTCAGTACAGGTATTTGACCGTCATCGCACCTGATGTTAAGTGAGTTGCAGTCTATAATGTACATAATATAAATAAGCAATCCGCGTACCTAATGCAAATTAAATATGTAATTTCAATAATTAAGTAATTATACTATTATCACTTTCTCGTAGCTAGATTAGATGTATGACAATTGCCCACTGTGCATTGATCGTTTGACCGTTGTATTTGCAATGGATAATTGATTGATTGTCCGCGCAAAGTACGCATCGTATGTGAAACGAATGCAGATTGTGGTATTACCACAGAATAATAATAAGTACCTACTACGTACAGAAGTTTTATTTCGCGAAGGTATTAAAAAAATGTATGCTCAATGTCGTTAACTATATGGTGTAATTTAGCTTGTCTCAAGAGTCAAGCACCATTTTGTTGACAAACGTCAGGGATCG